AACACGAGATTCTATAAACAGGAGGAAAAAGCTCTTTAAATCGTTCAACTGGAATGAAAATATTAAATTCAAAGTACCACATTATTTTGAAATCAGCTCACATTTAGTACTAAACTGAGGCTAGGCTATCATACTTCAGTTACATTATGAGAAGACAAGAGTCGTCAGAAAAGGCAATAACACTAGGAAAAGTTGAAGGCGTCGGGAAAAGAAGACCCAGCTTGAGATAGATTGACTCAATCCAGGAAGCCACGACCCTCGGTTTGCAAGACCCGAGCAAGGCTGTTAATGATAGGATGTTTTGGAGGTCATTAATTCACAGGGTTGTCATGGGTCAGAAGCGACTTGACCGCACTTAATACACACACACACAGCTGAAGTGGTGCTAATTCAATTATGGCTTAGTGGCACAATATCTGGACTGCATAAAGTGAGAGGACAGGGAGGGTCTGGCACTGCTGCAGCGGCCCTGCTTCTCATATTTTTCCTTCTTAGATCTGCATTTTGAGGTCTTTACATTGACAAAACATGTTCTCAAACACTCATCCACAGCTTAAGTGCATACCATCAAGGTCGCTTTCAAAGGTTTCTGCTGAGACCCAGTCAGTAGACGGTCCGGTACCATTGACTGTTAAGGCAGCAACCCGGAAGCTGTATTCTGTGCCACGTTCAAGACCTGATGTAAGAATGCACAGTATTAAAATACAGTTTCCCACAGCAACTGCAAAGCCAGTGCTCCCAATTTAAACATCAACAGTTCCAACAGCTGACCGTAATAGCTTGCAAACAGGAAACCAATTGAGTAGCTAAGTGAACAGCATATATGGCTGTAATATAGTCTGAGGCTCACCTGACACAGATCCAGCTTAGCTAAGAGCTTTACATTTTGACCTTTGGCCTCTTGAGCATAACCAGAGGCTACCAGCAGCAGACTGCCAGGCTGGTAGCAAGATTCCAGCAGATGCAATTGACACAAATTATTATTTGTCAGACTGATGCTACAAGGTGGTGACACACAATGACTTTTCCCTGCAGGCCAGTGGCCAAAGAGCATGAGAGTTGTCCACAGCCAATAAAAATTTGCTCTTCAGATTATTAACATTTCTTATACCAGAGCGCTTAGTCAAAAGATACCACAATTTTAAAAATGGCCAGCATCCCCCCCATGAATTCATGCCAACATTTAATGAAAAGGAACAGGTGTGTGGTGGGAAATGCAACTCCACCTGCTTCCTTCATTATTTTAAAATTGTTCTGTCGACCTTTTAAGTGTGTGTGTGTTGTTGTCTTTTTAATTTATTTTATTTTATCCTGTACAGTTGCTATGGCTTTTTTGCTAATGCAATAAATATTATTATTATTATTATTATTAAAATTGTTCACCAACTGTAAGAAATGAAGTACATTTTATTCTTTGCCAGTAAAAACAAAGTGGACATTTTCCTGCAACCTTTTATATTTACTTAATTAACTGGAAGATTTATGCCCTTCATTGGAGGCACCTAACAGTCAACAACTGAGGGCTGATGCGCCCAATACAACATCCTTGTGGCCCCCACAAGGACTCTGCATTACTCATCCGCCAGAATTTCTGTGCTTCACAGGTGCACAGGGCCTGATTCTGATCGGGACTGTGGTCTGCGTGGGCTCCTTCAGCCTCCTGCTTCCCCATACCGTTTTCCGGATCTGTAACGGTCCCGGGAAGCCTCCCTTTACATTCTGCTGGCATGCTTGCATGTAGCCGTCATTACACCTAAGTCTCTCAACCAGCAAATGGGGTGGATCCTACCCCTATCCTACCAGTCCACTGAGCAAAAGGCATGTATTTATTAAAAGATTTATATCCCACCTTTTCTTTTGGTTCAAGTTTGAAGCCTTTCTCCAAATTAAGTGGTTCTTCCGTTGGAGGGAGAGAAACTTAAATTAGAAGAAGGCTCCCTCATTTGGCTGGAGAAAAGTTGGATGGTTGGATCTGACCCAGTAGCTGCTAAGGCTCTCCGTAGGCACACCAAAACAATTCTGGAATCCAACAGGATCCACAAGTCTCTGCAGGTGGACAACCTTAGCGATTTCTACACCTCTTACAAGGGCAGGGGAGGGCACACCAAGCAAGCCTTCAACTGACAGTGATCTGGACTATGATAATGGCTTCAGATTAAGCGCCTTTGCCAGAAAAGCAGAATCCTGCTTGGTAGAGTCTATCTATGTCCTCTCTCAGGTATAGGGACAGTCCCATATTTGCCATGTCTGAGCATGGCCAGTTAAGGGGAGCTCAGGATGGATTCTGAAATCGCCCCATCCTATTAGTCTAGAGCCTCCATGAGAGCCAAAAATTAATCCAGCTCCACAAGGCATAGTAGAAGCAGCAAAGCAATAAAAAGTCAAATAAGTGTAAACAGCATAACAATAATTAAAAGCAGTGACACAGAAAGTTAAATAACAAAGCTGTTGAATACAAATGAAACAAATGAAGCAACAGATAATAAATGGCAAGGAGCAGGGCTTCCCGTACCTTTCCACTCATCTCTCCTGCTTCATTCATCCCCTCACAATACTGACTGAGCCAGCTGTGGCAAACCAACATCAAACAGTCTCTCCCAGGCTAAGGAGCCCTGAACCTGTAGCCAGTTTCTTGCTTTTTTAGCAAAGAGAATTCTGGCCCACTCACCTTCAATTAGCTGGGAAAGTTGGGTCCCGACAATGCTTTCAGTCACATCACTTTTGCGAGTTACTTTTCGGTAGCGAATCTTATAGCCAGTGATTTGCCCATTGTGTGTCCCCACAGGAGGGGGCTGCCAATGCATCATTATGCTCTATGGGAATTAGGAGACATTACAAATCACATCCTTCATGTGAAACTTCCCTAGTTTGGGTTGTTTCAACAACCTCAACAGCACTGATTCAAGGAACATTTTATGTAACATGTGTACATCAATACCCCTCATGCAGCAGTACTTGCTCTGCAAATCACCATCAACCAAAAACAGCCATGTTTACTTCCATCCCTAGCACAATGTTCGCTCCTCAGAGAAGCTTGCAGCTTATTTGTTCTTCTGGTTCTCGTGATGAGAACCAACTGCAAAGCACAAGCCCCACTGGTCAAGGGCCTTCTCCATTTACCTGAAGCCTGAGACAAGTGCTACCTTGGGGAACGGTGCTCAGAAGAGTCACAGGTAAGCCACAGGTGATTTCAGAGAGCCACATGTGGCTCCTGAGCCATTGAGCATCATGGCTCTAACATAACTTAATGGGAAACAGCTCTGAAATTTAAACCCATTGTCCAAAATAGTCTGATTTGATTTTCGTATCAACCCATCTTAGAAAGCAAGTAAGTGGCCGTGGAAAATTTGAAAGCACTAGTACATATCAAATCTAAATTCTCTCTTCCTTAGTCATTAATTTTTCTCTACCTTATGCAATTTTGCCCTGCCTGTCTTTGGTGTTCCTGAAGCAGAGAACACCTTAACCCAGAAGCGATTGGCTAGAATGAACATCTGCTTCAGTTTCAAACATGCTAACTTGAAATGTGTCCAAGAGATGACAAAAATGTACACACCTGAAGGAACTAGCTGATAAATATTTAAAAATAAAATGCCATGCACTTCACAGGCTCAACGTTTAGAGAAGCATTCAAACTTGCTCATTAAAACATTTATATCCTGCCTGTATTTGTGGTTCAAGGCAGCTCACAATAATACACACACTTTCAGTTAAAATAGAAACAAAATAGCAAACCCCAAATCCCCCCCCCACACACACACACCTTTAACAGATGTCTGCCATTCAAACCCTCTCAGTTTAGGGTGATAAAGTCAATATCCAATCTGATATGGATACTATGGAAGTTGCCACATGGGGAGAGTAAGCTTGGAAACAGATTTAGAAGCTGGGTTCTTTCTGCCCATGATCCATGTCAATAACAAAAAAATAAAATAAAATAAAATAAAGCATCTTACCCTGGAGTTTTGTACTTCCAGTGACAGATTCTGAGGTGCAGCACTGGGAACTAGAAACAGTAAAGAAAGTTATTCAAAACCAATTCAGAAGGGTGGCTTAAAATAATAGAAGTATAAATACAAATATGATTCACGGTAAGCACTAAATATCTAAAGGGGACTCTTCATAAAGTATAAGCAAAAACACAAACTAAAATTTAAGAATATACTTCAGAGAAAACAGGCCCCCAAAGTGGACTGAAGGCACATAACTCCAATGATGTAACCAAACTAAGCAGATATGGCCCTGATTCCTTCCTGATAAGGAAGCTATCTGGGAACTCTATGAGCAACTTGGAAAGAAGGGTGGGATATAAATGTAACAATAAAGACACAGACTGTATTCAAGTGGCACAATAAACCAGAGCCTTAATCTATGGTTAGTAGTGGTGATAAACTGGAATTCTAAACCATGGTTTGTACCTGGCTTGTAAACTAAAACTATAGTTTATACTTAGGTTTGTCATGACATCTGAATAAAGATACCTTTATTTGTTGTACAGTTCTGCAAATGTACAAATGTATATTTGGAAGAATAACCAGAGTCTGAGCGATAAACTGTAGTTTATTGTGATGTCTGAATGCATCCTTTTTTCAGGAAAAACTTAAAAAGAACAATGGATTTTTGATATGACATGAAAGCTACCTCTAGAAGCTTTCAGAGGCTCTCTTTCAAAAAACGAGGTTCATCCATATATTTGAAACATTTACTTTTACAGAGTAAAAAAAAAGAACTACCTGTTCTCAGAAGAGTTCATCTGTGTTTCTGTATGAGTTACCATTCTAGAGTTGCCTTCTTCCAGTCCAGAGGCATACCCAGTGAAGTGACTCACGCAGATATTGCACAGACAGCCCCGTTAGAGGGCAGGTCATTCTCCTGAGTCTTTGTATCAAGAGTAATTGGATCCAGTCACCACAGATGCAAAGATGACACAGAATTACTTGGCCCCAGTGGGGGCTCGACTTAATGAGGCAAGGCCAGAACAGAGAATCGCACAACCTCATCCATATGTTGGGGCTATCTCAGGCTCCATTTATTATTTCATCAATTCACTTCTTGTGGCCCACTAGCATTTCCCTTTCAGCACACTAGCGTGCCTGGCATATGATAAGAAACACACAAAGAGGCTGTGCTACTTGGCTAGAACTCATATTTTGCCATAGCAATCTAAAGAAGCGCAAATGAAGGGGAAGCGATTTGGCTACTACTTTCTGCAGCAGGATGCAAGGGACTCTAAGGAAAGACTGTGTGAAGGTGCTACAAACATGCAACGCACACGAGTGTGCTATAATCCTGCAAGTGCCATTTAATAATTTCGAAACCATTTCTAGCCAAAGCTTTCCAAGCAGCTCACAACAGTACAAAACAATATAATGGATCCAACCATAAAAAGCATAAGCACAATGTATCTATAGAAATTCAAGCAGCACACCAAACACACAGCAAAAAAAAGCCTGTCTGACAAAGTAAGTCTCCACAGTCCTCCTGAAACTCAACAAGGAGTGAGCTCGGCAGGCCTCTCTAGGGAGGGAGCAACTACTGAGAAAGGCCTGTTCCTCGGAACCACCCACCTTGCATCAGAAGATGGGGCACTTTAAGCAGGGCCTCGTCAGATGATCTATGCGTACACAAGGAGGCAGCCAGAGTTCATGCGTTAGTAGGGAACCAATCCCACTATTTTTATACAGATTTACACATTATGCTTCCGCGGGGATCTAGGCACAGGGATAATTCACTCTCGTCTGAATCAGCCCTTAAAGCAGACTTGTACACTGTATATCTGCTCGTATACGTGTCAACGGTATTTAACTCAGGACAGTCATTTACAAAACACAATATACACAACCTTCTTTTCTAACCAAAAACCATCCAATCGAAATATATTATTTTAACCCCAGCTCTATTTAGTAACATGAGAAACAACAGTTAAGAGCCAATAAGGCATTATGGGAAGACCCATGTGTTTTTATCTGCAAGCCCGCCTTATCACATCTAAAGCAGGGGGTGGAAAGGCCGACTGTTTTTAAAAGAAGGAACGTAAAAATAAAGTACATGAAAGAAGGGAGCTAAACCTTGCCGCCGCTTTACCCCACTGTGCTCTGTTGTTTGCAGCACTTTCCTTCAGCCTGGCTCATCCACTATCAAAAGCTGGAAGAAAATACTGTTGGAAGAAAATACTGAAACCTGCACACACATGGTCATTTGAGGGAGGGGGGGCAGGGTTCAGGTTCCTAGGTTGACACACTGCTGCTTTTTAAAGATGTTACTTCCTAGCACTGCTTGAGATGTGGCCACAGACATGAATACATATGGCCACAGACATGAATACCCACCCCAAACACCAGTTAACCAGAGGAGAATACGGATCGTATTAAATCCACAACTTTTAAAAGACAAATGAATAAAAGGATGAACGTGTTTCAAGATTGTCTTTGGCAGCAGCTTTTAAAATCGAGTTCACCACGCGCTGATTCATCCTGTGTTTTTTCAGACTATAGTTAATATTGTCACTTCACTTTTGTAATCGAATAGTTATAATGTAATGTGCTTTAATACAATAACCCATGCTAGTAGAGCAAACACTACCTTAAAACTTTTGTTTGGCTAAGGAACACTTAACTTTCAGTGTATTAGTATAATATATAGACAAACACTTTTTGTAAATTTAAAAAAAAACAGGGCTTAGTGAAAATGGATCTTTCAAACTTCTAGGATTTTTCTGATGCTCTTTTTGTAGAAACTATATGAAGCCCCAGTTTGCAGATTTTTCATCCACGCTGGGAGATATACGAAGATATATGAACTTGCAGATACATATACTGAAATCGAGTTTGCAAACAAAAACTCTATTTAACTGAAAAGTGACAATGGACTGCCATTACAAAGATGCTCACCGTCAGACAGAGTTCGAATGACGACATCTTGCGTAGAAACTCCAGGGCCGTGTTTATTGTAGGCCACCACTCGGAAGTTATACTCTGTATATTTCTTCAAACCATTTATTGTGTGGGAAAGGCCTCCGACGTCAATGTCCTGTATTTGAAAAGGGGCAAACATTGCAGTCTTTACAACAACTGGGATGCGTTCTCCTAATGCTGTTGCTCTTATTCCTCTATGCGTTTTTTGGGATGAAACATCAGCATGCAGGCGCAAACACACCCACACCAGTTAGAGGTATTGTCTGGATCTCAAAGGGGCTCTCAGAAAGGTGCTCGGGAATATTAAACTCAGGCTAGAAGTCAAGGGCCACAACTGTGGCTTGTGTGGCTCTATAGGCCAGAAAGAGGGAGAGAGGTGAGGAGAGGCTCTGACCAGGCCCCATTTCCTTCTCATTTTGCCACTTCCTCAGTAGTAGTGAGTTTCTCTTGGTCTACAGCATCCTAAACTTTCTTCTTACTCTTTATAAGCATCTGTGAAAAGTTGCCAGATCCTTTAGCGTCTCGTTCTCGAACTGAAGGAATCTCTTGGGAATGGGCATGTTCTATATTGTTGCCAGCATAAACATCTACTCTTTTGTAATGTCTTTCTAACAAATCTCCTCAGTTATCATGTAGCGTGAAGTCTCAATGAATGATAATTTTTCTTCTCCTGCAGAATATCCCTCTTGTTTCAGTGGGTCTTGTACTGGCCTCTGCTGCTTTAGAGCCATTTCCCCCCTTCTTCTAGGAATTCTTTATTACGGTTCCTACTGGGTTATTAGGGTCACTGCTGTTATCTAGTCTATCTAGTCAACTAAAAACACTAAAGAAAACTGTTAAATGTTCAGGCATCAGTGAAATCAATGAAAGCTTGCTGTCTCATAAAGGCATATGAGAGCTCCCTTGGTTTCTCTCAGCTGGCCTTGACTACTGCTTCAGTTCAAAATGTGACACTTCTGAGAATGGAGCAAGACAAGCAATGCCAATAAACTCATCTGTTGCCAGACAATAAAAGAGCATCTCTTTAGCTGTCAGGACAATGGTATGTTCTAAGACCTTGCTTAATGACTGCATAGAGTCACAGAAAGGATATGACAAAAGCTGCAATTTTAGCATGGTGGTACTGAGAGCCTACAGTTCAATTGCCACCGTAAACTATCAAGAAGAAATTGTCCACCAAACCTGTTCACTGTCCGTCTCCTTCTCCATGTAGTACAATTTGTAATTCTGGATTTCACCATTGCCAGATAAGGGTGTAGCCCAACTGATCGTGACTGAAGTGGGCGAGTTTGCATATGCTCGAATATTGGGGGCCGGGCCAGGAAGCTGAACTGGAAAAAAAATCAAGATGTCTCGTAAGTTTATCCAGATCTTTCCATTGCTAGCGTGGATCAAAGGGTTTGAAACACATCACACTAGGAGAATGCAACAAAAACAGAAGAAGGGCCGAAGGACGCCAGGCTGACATCGACGAGGACGTTCTCTTTGGCGGCTCCAACCTATTGGAATAAACTCCCTGGCGAGATTAGGGCCCTGCGGGACCTGTCACAGGCTGTGTTCAGACTGGCAGTTTGGCCCAATATAGGCACATTTTACATACAGATTAAATAGGCACAATCACACAGCCACATCTGTCAGGTGTCACCCCGTCAGAGGACGACTTGGAGCCGGGTTAAAAAGCCACCACCTCCGAAGTGGTGTTTTTGTTTCCCTGTGCATTTATTGCACATGGCCGGATGTCTGAACACAAGGGAGCGCGCGCAGAACGGATTTGGCAGTGTGAACCTGCAGATCCGTTCTGCCGCCACGCAGGTGGGTTTTTTTAAAAGAATTGCCTATGTGCGCATGCGCACTATGCACACACATGGTTTTTGGATTTGGGGGTGGGGTTTGCAGTTCCCTCCGTGGCTGAGGCACCACAATAATGTGGATGCTTTACCATGGGATGTCTCCGTGGGTAACCTGCTAGGGAAGCATGGAGGGCTCTAATTCAAGCCGCCAAGGAAAAGAACTCCGCTTTGTTTTGGAGGATGGTCTCCAATCAAAAGGGAAATAGCATCCTAACAAGGGAATCCTACATTCCACCTGAAACTTGGATTCTTCATTTTCAGAATTTGTATCATGATAATCCTACCCCCTCCTCTATGTCCACAGTTTTCAGTGATCTGCCTAGTTGGCCCTTAGTTTCCCCAGAAGAGATCTCAGCACTGATAGGCCAACTTAAAAGAGGAAAGGCCCCTGGCCTCGATGGAATCCCTCCTGAATTTTTGAAGGAAAATATAAATTGGTGGGCACCTTTCTTAGCGCACCTATTTACCTACATCGATATGACAGGGAGGGTTCCAAGTGACCGGGGGGAGGCGGTGGTTGTTCCTTTTTATAAAAAAGGTAATCAAAAAGATCCTGCAAATTACAGGCCTATTAGCTTACTAAGTGTCATTAGCAACTATATGCCAAACATCTTCTAGAAAAATTTACACTCTGGCTGGAGCAAGAGGATATAATGATTCAGGAGCAAGCTGGGTTTAGGCAGGGTAGGTCGACAATGGATCACTGCCTTCTTCTTAGGCATCTTATTGAAAAATACTCTGGCAAGGGCCCTTTGTCTCTTTATGCCGCCTTTATTGATCTTAAAGCGGCCTTCGACTCCATTTCTAGACCTATATTATGGAGCAAACGTGAAGTCTCCACAATAGACAGGAGACTTTTAGCTCTCATTCGTGCCCTCCATGAACAAACATCTTTGAGGGTTAGATATACCAGGTTGGGGCATTTGACAGACAAAATTTCCACCCTAAAGGGAGTTAGGCAAGGGTGTATGCTAGCTCCTGCTCTTTTTAACTTTTACCTCAACGATGTTGCTGGATATCTAAATGATGTAGATTTTCATCCTCCTAAACTAGCCCAGCGCTCTATTACTATACTTTTATATGCCGATGATGCTGTTATTCTTTCTAGAACCCCAATTGGTTTGAGAAGGGCTCTTAAGAAATTCGCTAGTTATTGCAGAGAACAGGAGCTGGATATTAACTATGCAAAGACGAAGGTGATGGCTTTTGGCAGGAGACCCAAATTAAGAAAGTGGAGTGTAAACGGCCAGAACCTCGAACAGGTAGCTAGCTTTCGCTATCAGGTGTGGATCAGCAAAGCCTCTGGAGCTAAGACTGCCCACAGCCAGGCAGCAGCATGCTCGGGTGAAAAATCCTCTCATGGTATACTTAAGTTTTTCAGATCCCAAGGGGGCTACTTTGTACCAGCAGCTTTAAAACTTTTTAAGGCTAAAACACTTGCCCAGATGCTCTATGGGACGCTGCTTGGAGCGCCTTCCTCTAGCTATGCCCCCTTAGAGCTAGTCCAATCGAAATTTTTGAGAGCAGTGCTCCAAGTTCCTAGATGCGTATCCAATGCAATGGTACGGCTAGAGACTGGCATGCTGAAGGTTGAAGCCATGATTACCTTATACTTCATCTTCTATTGGTTGAAGATAAATTTGAATCCTTGTGGACTAGTGCCCCTGATTCTGACTGATGCCTTTAAATCCAAATGGCTGATTTCTGTTAATCGGAAAATTTCGCTCTTGGGGTATTCTCCCCCAAGCGCTTTTGGAGTTGGGTGGCAACCGAGCTAAGTTAGCAATTAGGCAGAGGATCAAGGACACCGAATGCCAATTGGATCTACAGGCGACTCCTACCTTTATAGCGCCAATTAGTAATAAATACATCGTAGCGCAGGCCCCATATTTAGCCGTTCTGGAGTCCCGTAAACTCAGGAGGGCATATACTTTGGCTAGATGCTCCGCCTTACCTACTGCAGTTCTTGAGGGTAAATTCAAAAAACTTCCCCGAATGGAGAGGCTATGTACGTGTGCGTCGGGGGAGATCGAATCCCAGGAACATGTGTTCCTGAGGTGCCCATTATTTGAAGAGGCTCGTACAAAATGTATTGGTCCTTTTTTGGCAGGCACTTCTGATCAGGATAAGATGGAGAACTTGTTTTTAAACTTTGAACATACAGCGCTCCATCAGATTGCGAAATTTTGCTCCTTGGTTGTAAAAGCTCATCAGTGTTCTGGTTGTCACTTGGGTTAGGACTGCTTGATTCTTACTTCTACTGTTACCTCTATCATCTTATTTTATTCTCTTTTACTGTGTTTTATTGCAGCGTATTCTTAAGTTTGGTTTTAGCGATCAAAATGATTGTATAGTGTGTCTCTTATTACCCTGTTGTATTCTGGAAGTTTTACCATTTGGCCATTGTAATTTACTTTTATGGTTTTATATTGCTGGCTAAGCGCTGTAACAATAAAATTCATTCATTCATTCCGTGGGTAACCCACAGCAGGGTATGCTGTGTGGCTGATATATCCCACTACACTTTAACCTGGTTCAATTAGAGGCAGCACCATATCATGTCAAGCTGCCAGTGTGATCACAGCCACAGTTCCGCAGGGCCGTGAAAACGGAGCTTATCAGCCATGCCCTGTGTCGACCTAGAGTTAGAAGTTACCTAGAGTAGTAGCACCACTGAATGTGTTCTTAAATGCACTTTAGTATATCACACTGCCATCGCTATATCAACTATTTTAAATCGTTTATTATGGATTTTATATTGAAATGTATATTGTTTTATTGGTTTTATGTGAGCCGCCCTGAGCCTGCTTCAGCGGGGAGGGCGGAGTAAAAGTTAAATAAATAAATAAATAAATAAATAAATAAAGAAAGAAAGATATAAATGCTGCAAAAGGGAAAACCCTCAACTCCACCTGAAATAACAAACTCATGTCTTAGACCTACAGAGTGCAAGGCCCAAGATCCAACTACACAGTTTAGCAGGCATTTGAAGAGAAGGCTAAATAAATAAATAAATAAAGAAAGAAAGATATAAATGCTGCAAAAGGGAAAACCCTCAACTCCACCTGAAATAACAAACTCATGTCTTAGACCTACAGAGTGCAAGGCCCAAGATCCAACTACACAGTTTAGCAGGCATTTGAAGAGAAGGCTCCCTTCAGTTCTTCCAGACAAATTCCACAAGGAAAGTTTCAGGACTTGCCTTTCATCTGTGGCAAACCATGTGAGATAACAGCACCCATAACTCCCCACAGTAACAGAGGCAAGGAAACAGAACTCACTGGCAAAAAAACAACAACCAACCTCCCACCCACTTTAGTCAGGAAGCTCTCCCGAACAAACACATGTTAATTTACTCAACTTCTGAAAAAACATAGCATGTTTAATGTTTCCTTGATTGTGTCTTTTTGGAAGTTAAGCAATGAAGTTACATGTGTTCGTGTAACAATAAATATGTACCAAGAAAAAATATTTAAAATCCTAATGGAAAACTCTTCTCAAAAGCAAGCTATTAATCTAATCTAATGCCTTATAAGGCAAAATTGACTCCATGCCTAAAATGAACAAACCATACAGCGAGATACGAGTTCAAAATGTGCAACACAATATTCTCTACATGAAGCAACCTTGGGTATTTAAATAAAAAAAGAAAACACTTTTTTTAAAAAATCTCCCCAAGTGTCTACTTTAGTTTTGGGATCAGTGAGTCTTCTTATTCTACTTATTCTTTATAGCAGAAAGAGTAATCTTCAAACCCAGTCATTGACTTTAGCAACAGTTTTGGAGAAAACATACCCTACAACCTATCTGTTGAAGAAAGCTCAAGCCCACTTCTCCACAGGCTCCAGTCAGAGTTTAATCATGCTAATGAGCCTGAAAAGCTGGATCCAGCCATTAATTTGGCAGTTTCAAGGTTGAAACTGGCAACAACAATATGCAAGGGAAAAAGGAACCTTTACTTCACACAAAAAAGCAAAGATTACCCTACTAAGCCTGAAAAAAAGATGCTTGTAAAGATGGCGCTCAAAGCGGCAGGTCAAGAACAACCAAACTTTCAGGGCTAAGAATGCTTTCAGAAGGCCCGTTTTAAAAACGATGCTCGTCCTATGGTGGCAGCTGCTGCTGAAGTGATTCTTCTACAAAACCTGCACGGTCAGACCTCCAATCCACTTTCTCAAAACACTTGGCAAGCCCCAGGAAAGGTGTCCACAGGTGCCATGGTGCTCCCAAGGCACTACGTTGAGGAACCATGCCGTAATGGGCACTCTATCCCAGCATCCTATTTCCAACAGTGGTCTAACAGATGTCACAGAGACGTCTACAAAGAAGTCTGCAAGTGAGGTTCACAGGCAGCAGCCCTCGACAAAGCACTTCCTTTGCTCAGCCAAAGATTAGCCTAATGTACAGCTAGGGTCAGGAGCTGCGGTGGCTCAAGTGGTTAAGATGCTTCACTGCAGGCTGCGGAAGGTCGGTAGTTCAGCAGTTCGAGACCTGGGTTGCCGCATGACGTAGTGAGCTCCTGTCTCTAGTTCCAGCTCCTGCCAACCTAGCAGTTCGAAAGCAAGAAATTGCAAGTAGATAAATAGGTACCACTTCGGTGGGAAGGTAACAGCGTTCCGTACGCGCCTTGGTGTTTAGTCATGCCGGCCACATGACCACGGAAACGTCTTCGGACAGCGCTGGCTCTTCGGCTTTGAAACGGAGATGAGCACCACAACCCTAGAGTCGGATTCGACTCGCTTTCGAGCAAGGGAACCTTTACGTTTACCTTTTACAGCTAGGGTCATACACAGCCTATGAGAAGGAACACTAACAGGTATCTGTTTATCATCTGCCAAGCGGGGCAGTGGTTCAATGCTCACCCTCGGGTTGTGTTGCCACCTTCAGGGGTACCGAGCTCTCTCCAGGCCCATGTTTGTTCTGAGCTACCACTCTGAAAATATAGACTGTCTCAGGCATGAGATTTTGAATCGTCACTTGCATCTCCCCAGGATGGCTTGTGTTTTCAACGCGTTCCCTTTTGTTAAGAGAAAGAAAAAGAAAAAGAACTTATCAGCACGATGAAATAGAACATGAAAAAGAACTTATCAGCACGATGAAATAGAACTACTGATATTTAGTGCATACCTGAACTGTCAATGATGCAACGCAATAATGACACTAGTTACGCTAACATGCCAAAACTTAGTTTTTTAAAAAAAAAACACTTCCTGGTGCGGCAGCTTCATTCAGAGCATGCAGTTCCTCTCACGGTGATGAGGGAAACAGAGGTTATCTAAAACTGCTCTTCTTTTGAATAGACCTTCAGCACAAGAGATTGTGCTCATGTCAGCCACAGCATGAAACATTCCGTTTCCAACAGGATGAAAACACCCTTCCTCTTGACTGAGAGGCTCTCTGAAGTCCCACAAAGAGGACAGCTCCCCAAATGATTACAGCAAGAGACAATCAATAAAAGACAGATGTTTTAAAGGAATCAGTAAAAACTCAGTGTGTTTCAAAGCAATCAGGAAGCCTGCATAGTGAGTGAAGTACCATTAGTTTTGACTCTTTTGCAAGGATTCCACTAGATTCACAGCTCTCTTGATAAAGGGCCATATGTGGCTCGTGCACCGGGCTTTATTGATTACTGTATCAATCTTTCCCTGCACTTTTCTACAGAATGTCTTTGACCTAACCATTTTTCCCAGCACACCATGTCAGTGCTGAGGGGAGGATGAACACCTTCCTGGCAACCACAAAGCCTGAGCACGTAGATCACCTACCCTGCAACCAGACCAAAGCCCACTCCAAGGTTACAATTCAGCAACTGCTTCTATCCAGAGCTCTGGGATCCAACTGATCTACATCTAAAGCTCATTCTTAAGGTTGCTCACATGCCATTGGCAACAGCATCTTAATAACGGGTTCCCCAGAGGCACACCATCGTGCCACTGGGCTGGTGAAAAAGAAAGTGAGCTCTGCAGTATGCACGCTTTGTGTGGCGAACTTGTTCTTTCCACCCAGCTCTACCAAAGGTTTGTCTTTGGACTTCCCCAAATCACTTCTCTGAGCCATAAAATTCCCGCTGTCGCCTTGCTCACATACATCATCTGCGCACATGCATCCTCTTGCCATTAGCTCAGAGAAATGTGAACTTGCATCAGCTATATAAAGTGCTACCCCCCAAAAAAAAGAAAGAAAAAAAGAGTTTAGATTGAGAGGAAAGCTTTTTATCTCGCAGTGGATCAGACTTCGGTTAATGCAGCCACATTGGCATTACCTTGCAAAATATAAATTAGCTACAGAGGCTTTTAGGGCTTTTGCTGAAGCCTCTGACAAGCATTTAAAAGCCTCAGTTCTCTCATATGTAATCTTCTGGGAGGACTTTTCCCTCCACAGGCACAGCCATCTTCTTAGGGAGCGATGCACATGCCACGCCAGCCTTGGGATGAGTGGAGCTTCCCTTTGTTTTTCCTTTGGCAAAAGACAAAGCCTGGGGCTTCCTATTCTGATCAGATCAGCTTTTCAGGTGTAAAATCAAGAGGGAGAAGAGTACCCTCCCCCATACTTAGGAGAAGATACTGGGAAATGTGTACCCTTTCCAGGAGGTAGCTTACAGTGTGTTTCAGATCCATGACCTCAATGAACACATCCATCACCTTTTCTTCTGTATTAATGGCAGACTGCTGCTCAGCAGACTCATCCACCTGGGATGACAGGACCGGATAGTCCCCTCTCCCCTTTAGGGCACAGGGTATTTTCCTTATGCTGGAATTTTACTTTTCTTGTAGGGTGGAGCTTTCTGAGTGGATCTCAAAGGGGAAGCAGCTGTGGAGGACTTCTTACCCCTTTTTGATGTCCTACCCCTAGATACAGATATGAACATATGAAACTGCTTTACACTGAATCTGATTGGTGGTCCATCGAGGTCAGTGATGTCTACTCAGGCTGGTAGCAGCTCTCCAAGGGCCTTAGACAGAGGGTCTTTCTCATGAACAACTATCTGATCTTCTTTTTTTTTTAAAGTGGAAAAGCTTGGGAATTGAACCAGGAACCTTCCTGCAATCCAAGCAGATGCTCCACCACTGAACTATAGCCCCTCCTCATAAACAACTGGGGCTGAAGCGCCTCTCTGGTTCTGAATCTCCTTTGTAAAGGAGCCTTCTGAGTAGGAAGGCATTCTTCCTGTGTGGTTGGTTCCCTCCCCCCCCCCCCCCTTCTCTAGCCCCTGCAACTTGGACTGCTACTGGGCCAGTCACACCTGCCTCATATTCACAAAAGGTGGAGAAATGTGGGGCAGGATTAAGATTACTCTGCAAAACCAGGAACCCTTGAGCCTATCCCTCAACAGCAAAGGCAACCGGCTGAGTCAAGGTGGTGGTGGATGAAAGCAGGAGTGGAAAGGAAGATGGCACTGTCAAGTTGTAAAGGTCTCCTCTGAGGAAAATACTTGAACCACCCTGTGATAATCAGGCATGACAACCTCTCTGAGGGAGGCATGGAATGTTTTACCTCTTGGCTTCCCTAGAGACATAAGCCATTATCAGCTGTAAACAGCTGATAAGGGGCAGGGGGAGGAGGCAATAATGCTGCATAAAAACTGTCTTCAGGCCAACTGAAGCATCTGTTCTAAAACAATCCAATTTCTCTGCAAATGGAGAGTGCTATTTTGGGTTTCTTGGTGAAGGGGTGGCCCCTTGCTTGGTCCTAAAAATGCTTTGGAACACATCTGCCTCCTGCTAGTCAAGTGAGGGAACTAACCCACAGTTGCAAGATCACTCCTGTGGTTATTTGCAAATACATGCACAAAAAAATAAGGATTTTAAAAGGTCTTCTGCCCAATAGATTGGAAGCACATTTAAAATCAATCATTTTACCCAACTAATTGCACTGCTGTCCTAGACTGTTGGGGGGGGGGGGGGAGCTGGCATTTATTTATTTCTAACATTTTCCACCTGATCTTCCTCCAAACAGCTTGGGGGGGCATACGTTTTATGCTCACAACAACCAACCTGTGAGGTAGGTTAGACTGAGAGAGTGTGACTGGCCCAAGGTCACCCAGTGAACTTCCATGGCAGGGTGGGGATTCGAACCTGGGTCTCCCAGATCCTAGTCCAAGACTCCAGTCATTATACCACACTGCAAGCAATGCTTTTGTTAAAAAGGCCATCATAAATTCTCGTGCTGCCCTAGGCATATTGTTAATAGTTCCTCGTTAACGTATTTTTAAAAAAATATTTTCACTGCTCAGTTCATGCTGATTTGTGCTTACATCATTATGCTGCTAGGCAGACTTAAGCATTCTGTGCTGCTTTTATTGTTCCATTTTATTATTTTCATTAGCTGTTCTTCTATTTGCCATTTTTATTGGAAACAATATCAGGCAAAGTCTTGGACCATGCAGTACAATAATAGATTAAATAAATAAATCTCATCTTAAGGTAGCAAAATTCAAGTATCAGACACGTCACGTTGATGATGACAGGCTCATACCTTCCTGAGGCTTTTCTGGTTAAGTAAGGGCCTAACTATGCTAGCACTGTACTACAAAACGAAGGAAAGGGATACCTGATTGTGCTGCTTGTCCAAGCTAAAGGGTAACATGGGAAGACTGCTGGACTGTGGTTAGAGGTCCAAATGTCTGCCTCCAGACCTCCAAACCAAAACACTCTACAAAGGGGAAACAGGTTCAAGCCCAAAGCAAAACTGTTCATTTTAGAACATGCAGCTCTCCCTAGTGCCTTACTTGACCGAAATATGGAGCTTCTTCCATCTGAAAATAACGTTCCTGAGTCTTAGCATCTTCCAGGAACCCTGTCAAAAGTACTTATTTCTGGGAGAGTTTTAACCACTGGATAGGTTTTATTTTAGCGCGTGTTTTTTCTAAATTCTTGGTACATATCTTCAGGATGGTGCAGGCCCCAATCCCAATGCTCGAACAGCCGGAAGATGCTTTAAGATATCAGAAATTTGCAAGCGGTTTGAGCAACATACCTGTTGATAGCTTCCTTGGTGTAGAATACTGAGTAGGTGAGATTGTCTCCATGTGGATCCGATGCAGGTGCCCTCCAGGTCAGCTTGATGAACCGCGTGGACACAAGAGAAGCCACAACATCCCGAGGGGCAGAAGGCAACGGTCCAGTTGTTGCTGGTGCTAGATGGTCAGTAGTGGCACTGGTCAGTGAAGTGGGAGGTAATGTTGGGATGGCAACATCTTGTCATGTGCAAACATTGGGGAACATGGAAGGGCAAACATCACGACGATTTAAAGAGAGAACAGGGGGGAAAAAAACCAAAAAAGAAATAAACAAAACCACGATGGGAAACAAAAAACAAAATGAACACACAAAGAAGGCCATTAAAACTGAAGGCTGGCATGCAGGCAAAAAAAGGTAATTACTAAAAATTAATGGGGAATATCAAAGCAGACATCACTATAGGGCAAGCAATCAAAAATCTCCGTTGCAATGGAAGTGGGAAGGGAAGGGAAGGGTGAAGATTGAGGATAAAGCACCATCTCATAATGGGAACATCAGTGTGACATTTAAGCTTGATTACGCATCTGTTGAAGCCATCATCAAATTATGCACTCAATCAAGACTTTCCATTTCAGTTTGCAAAACTGAAGCATAAATCTGAACCGGGACCAATAACAAACAGCACACAGATCAGCGAGTTTTCTGGCTGCTTCTATCGCAGTGCTGTTTGGTTCCTAAGAGAGCCTGATACGGTTTATAGTGAGTATATACACAAACTCTGAAAAGGCAACAGATTTCCACCACCTCCTTGGAACTCCCATCTCCCTCTCCAATCATTCACTCCTCATGATTTACACAATATGCTAACCACTGCAGCTTAAGATTGCCATGTGAGATTTATTTGGTTCCCGAACTGAGGTGCCACCACGCTAAAAGCAGCACAGTTCGGAATAGTAAAACATTTCCTTTTAATGTTTCCATTGTTAGCCATCTTGAGTACTGACACAGGCAGATTATGTTTTTTGCCACCAGAACTTTGGAGAAACAATAATAATAATTTATCAATGGAGAATATGCATCTATTTGCAGAACACAAGTGTGCTCTGCTTATTCTGAGCTGCTAACTTCAAGGAAGGCCTAGAAATATTATTATTTAGTTTGCTTTAAAATTTTTAATTTACATCTGAGCCTCTGAAAATATCAACTTTCATTATGCTTCTGGTCTTCATGGATATGAGGAAATATCTGACTGTGACAGAGTGCTCAAAGATATGGACACCAGAAAGAAATAACCAAACTTCAAAATGAATTGTGTCTGTATTTAATTTTCCACACTTAGAGCTAACGTTGACACCCTAAATAGTCTGATCTGTAAAGGACTGGTTTCCCCCAAGAGATGGTTGAAAACAGATCACTTGTATGGAAAGCTTGGTAGAAGAAAAGTTCTTTTGGTGTAGAGATGACAGAAATACTGCCTACTCTGTAATTATCTATTATCAAGGAATGGTAAATCCGTTCTTCACAACGTGAACTGCTAACATACAAGCAAATAATCACTACGCTCGAGTTCTAATTATTTTCAGCCAGGCTGAGAAAAGAGTAACATAATGTGTGCTCTTCTCTTTCCAGCAGTACGTGTAACCAAATGGAAACATTTCAATTGCTGAAATGTAAGCAAACTACGTTTTAAAAAAATTCTTTCACCAATAATTCTGGTAAGGAGCACAGTAGGAAGAACCTGAAGAACTATAAACCAGACTCAAAACTGATTTCAGTGGGCTTAGAAGGGTCAAACTCTGCTTAGCATGGCACTAGAACAAAGTCTGAGTCCAGTGGCACCTTTACGATCAGCAAAATTTAATTCTGAGTGTAACTTATCTGAAGATGTGTGAATGCAGACGAAAGCTGATACCCAGAATAAAACTCTGTTGGTCTTAAAAGTGCCACTGGACTCAAACTTTGTTCTGTTGCTTCAGACCAACACAGCTACCCAATTGAATCTATCTTCATTGCATGGCAGTATAAGTTCTTTCAACTGGTTGTGTGTATGTATTCAAGAAATACAATTTAGCGATGACTTGTGTGCTTGTATATGTGCAGTGGTTGTTCCAGAGGAAAAGGTTGTACATTTGCCTTCTAGGAAGATTAGAAAATCTTGTTGATCTAAGGATCCATGCCAATAAACATTTTTGCAAGGGAACCCCAACGAGAGAATATACAACTATTCGTCCAATAGTAATTAGTTGGGGTTTTTTTACAAAAAATATAGTGCTGCAACATTCAGGGTCTCCTCTCACATGGTGTTTTCTCCTCATGCCATCTGCACAGGTATGTTTGCTGCAAATACACATAACAGAAAGCTGACTGTCACCTTTTAGTGACAGGAAACAAACAGCATATCTTATGATGAACTAGTATTTCATTCGCCCCATGCAAGAATCTGCTCAGTGCTAGACGGAACAGGTCAATCCTGACTGTTATTACTGTGGTGTAAAAAGCAAAACTATCCAAGCTCCTTCGGGGGGAGTTCAACCCCAGAGAGGGGCAAAGTGTGGGAATCAACACCCCCTAAAGCATAGCTCTCTATATTATAAAGCTGATTTGGGGTGGCATCTCTCTTATGGGGTGGCAGGATTCAATTCATGCCAAAATCAGTTGGCCGCCTGAACTGCCACTCCAAAACTCTGCCAGTTGCTGGGTGGCCATGTGGCCTCAGTCCCGCCCAAACGTCCGGCAGCCAGCGTGTTGCTCTCAGTGCATACACCACCGCCAAAGACGATGGCCGCTCCACGGCCAGGACACATGAGACGCCAAGGACAACCACGCCAGTCAGCCGGCCGCCCACAGCATCTCCCCCCGCCTTCTCAGGCCCACGCGCAACCTTTCCCTGCTCACCGGCTGCGGTTGCTGGGCGGGGAAAGACCTGAGGCCCCTGTGCAACCTTTCTGAGGCCCCCGCACCACCCTCTTCACCTGATCTCACCTGGCTTCTACGGCCGCTCACCGGCCTCCGGGAGCGGCGGCCGGCGTGGGACCACCGGAGGCCTCCGCGCCGTCTTTCCCTGCCCGGCTGCCGAGGCGGACACACGGGGAAAGGCCTCTGAGGCCGGCGAGCAGGAGAAGCTGTCCAGAGGCCACCCACCCCCTCCTCACCCGCCCGCTGAGACAAGCGAGCCAGGAGGGAACCCGGGAGCCCTTTACAACCCTCTCCATGGGTTCTTCTGCCCTCCCGCCAGAGCGGCCACGTGGGAGAAGCCGCCCACAGGCCCCCGGCCCCCTCTTGGCCCGCCCGCTGAGACAAGTGAGCCAGGAAGGGGCTGGGTACCCTTTAAAGCCCTCCCTGTGGCTTCTCCTGCCCTCCCACCGAAGTGGGCGCGCGGGAGAAGCCAGCCACAGCCCCCCCCGCCCGCCCCCCCAGCCACGCCGGGAACCTTTAAAGCCCTCCCCGTGGCTTCTCCTGCCCTCCCACCGAAGCGGGCACGTGGGAGAAGCCAGCCACAGGCCCCCCCGCCCCCTCCTGGCCCACCCCCCACGCTCACTCGGGAACGAGTCCTAGGGCCCGTCGCATTCCTGTCCACGACAGGCCTTTCTCCTAGTCTAATATAGAACTGGAATTTCATCCACCTGTAGGCCTAGAAATGAAGCAGGAAGGAGAGTCAATTTTTTAAAAAGCCTACTTAATTAGCTTCTCAAACACAAGTCATCGTAGAATACTTGAGATTACAAATTTGGTTTCTTGCGATGCTAAGTATTCAGTGAGATGTTTAAATATAGCCTTGGAGAGAACGGGTGTATTCTCATCTGTGCTAATCAAACATCGTATTAATTAGAAGCTGTTTAAAGGTTTCCAATTAACTACAAGCTGAAATACAAACACTGATAATGCTATGCCTGAAGGCATAATAACACTACGATCCAGTGCATGTTTATTTGGGAGTAAGGCCCACGGAACTCAGGAGGACTTAGTCCTCAGTAAACAGGGTTGCCAACTTGCCAGGTCTGAGTTGGAAAATACCTGGAGATTTGGAGTGTGGAGCGTGGGGAGGGACCTCAGTGGGGTACAACACTATTGAGCTCACCCGCCAAAGCAGCCATTTTCTCCAGTGGAACTGATCTCTGTCATCTGGAGAGCAGCTGTAATTCCAGGAGATCTCCAGTCTCCACCTGGAGGTAGGTCACCCTATCAGTACACAACCACTGGGTTGGATTCCAAGTTCTTTAACTCACGGTGTTTGTTTAAATATTCTTCCAAATATAAATACTTCATTTCTTTCAAATAATCTACCTACTGCCTCAATCAGGAAATAGTGAAAAAAAGTGCCTACAACCATAATTGTTCGTCTGGATGAGCAGTAGTGTGCAGCAAATTCTGAGGAGGTGCCATCTTCCTGACTTAAGGTCTACAGCAGGGGGCCCCCAACCTTTTACAGTCTGCAGGAACATCTGAAATTTCGAGAGGAGGTGGGAAGCACCACCTTTAAACGGCTTCCACAAGAGAGGGAGCCAGGCCCAAGATGGCTGTCACAAGAGGCTGAGCTGAATAATACCTTCCTTCTCATGCCTCCTGGGGAGAAGAAAAGCCTGAAGGGGAAACAGAACCACACACTCCCTAAGGAAAGTCCAGGTGCTCCTCAGGCCTATAGTGATGTTAGCTAGGCTGCCATAAGGTTTATGGGTTTCAGTTCGCTCGCTTGACCTGTGTACTAGCCAGGCCTGCATTCCATTCCCCTCAGTGCCTCTACTCCTTATCATTGACCTTGTAGCTCGCTAGTGTAGTGTCTTCCCATCTTTCAACCGTGGGACTAGTTTCGTTTCCTCAACTACACTCCAACGGTTCTTCCCACTCGCGAGAGAGTGCCTAATTGGCCCATTGATTGGGGGGGGGGGCTTTTGAGTGTACTATATCTATACCTGTTTGCTTAGTATTAGTTATTCCTAACAGTGTGTGCTGAAGTGATTGACTGTGGGTCCTGACAGGAAATCCCTGTCATTTAAATAAGGGCAGCCATAAGAAAAGGGCAGCGGTGGCTCAGAGGTTAAGACAGACTGGAAGGTCTGTAGTTCGGCAGTTCAAGACCCAAGTGCCGCATGATGGGAGTGAGCTCCTGTCTCTGGCCCCAGCTCCTGTCAACCTAGCAGTTGGAAAGATAGAAATTGCAAGTAGATAAGTAGGTACCGCTTTGGTTGGAAGGTAATAGCATTCCATGCACCTTGGCGTTTAGTCATGCCAGCCAAAT